AAACAGAGATACAAAGGACTTACATGTGATCCTAGAACAAATGGAATTAATAGACATATATAGAAAACACCATCCCAAAGCTAAAGAATATACATTTTTCTCGTTAGCCCATGGTACATAGTCCAAAATAGACCACATCCTTGGATACAAATCAAACCTCAGCAAAATTAAAAGAATAGAAATTATACCTCATATCTTCTGAGACCACAAGGCAATAAAGGTGGAACTCAACTCCCACAAAAACATTCATCCCCACACAAAGACATGGAGATTAAACAACCTTATGCTGAATGATAATTGGGTTCAAGGAGAGATAAAGAGGAAGTTGTTAAATTCTTCAAACATAACAGTGAAGACACAGGTTGCCAAAACCTGTGGGACACAGCAAAAGCAGTCTTAAGAAGGAAATGTATCACATTAGTTGCCTACATTTGAAAAACAGAAAAAGAATGCATCAACAAACTCATGAACTTCTTATGGAATTGGAAAAAGAAAAACAATCTAATCCCAAACCCAGCAGAAGAAAAGAAATAACCAAAATTAAATCAGAGATGAATGAAATTAAAAACAAAAGAGTCATTCAGGCTCGGCGCCTGTGGCTCAGGCGGCTGGGGCGCCAGCCACATACACCTAAGGTGGCGGGTTTGAATCCCCAGCCTGGGCCCGCCAAACAACAATGATGGCTGCAACCAAAAATGGCCAGGCGTTGTGGCGGGCGCCACAGTCCCAGCTACTTGGGAGGCTGAGGCAGGAGACTCGCTTGAGCCCAGGAGTTGGAGGTTGCTGTGAGCTGTGATGCCATGGCACTCTACCCAGGGGGGGTAGGTTGAGGCTCCGTCTCAAAAAAAAAAAAAAAAGAGTCATTCAGAAAATTAATGAAATAAAAACTTGGTTTTTCAACAAAAATAAATGAAATTGATAAACATTTGGCCAGAGTAACTAGAAATAGAAAAGTAAAATCTCTTATAACCTCAGTCAGAAATGATGCCACACAGATACAAGAGATTATCTCTGAGTACTACAAGAAACTCTATGCCCAGAAATTTGACAATGTACAGGAAATGGATCAATATCTGAAATCACACCCTTTCCCTAGACTTAACCAAGATGAAATAGATGTCTTGAACAGACCAATTTCAAGAACTGAGATCAAAGGAACAATAAAAAATCTCCCAAGATTTTCTCCCAAGAGAAGAGCTTATACCCATACTGCAGAAATTATTTCAAAAACTGAGAAGGAGGCTCGGCATCTGTGGCTCAAGCGGCTAAGGTGCCAGCCACATACACCTAAGGTGGCAGGTTTGAATCCAGCCCGGACCCACCAAACAACAATAATGGCTGCAACCAAAAAATAGCCGGGCGTTGTGGCGGGCACCTGTGATCCTAGCTACTTGGGAGGCAGAGGCAGGAGACTTGCTTGAGCCCAGGAGTTGGAGGTTGCTGTGAGCAGTGAAGCCATAGCACTCTGCCCAGGGGGACAGCTTAAGGCTCTGTCTCAGAAAAAAAAAAAAAAACTGAGAAGGAAGGAATCTTCCCCAACATATTCTACAAAGCAAACTTCCTGATTCAAAACCACGAAAAGAGCTAAGTGAAAAGGAGAATTTCAGACCAATTTCACTAATGAATGTAGATATAAGAATTTTTAAATAAAATCTTAGCTATTAGATTGTAGCTACCTATTAAAGAAATCATTCATCACTGGGAAACACCTGTGACTCATTCAGTAGGGCGCTGGCCCCATATACCGAGAGTGGTCAAACCTGGCCCTGGCCACACTGCGACAAAGGAATAGCTGGGTGTTCTGGCAGGCCCCTGTAGTTTCAGCTACTTACTCAGGCTGAGGCAAGAGAATCGCTTAAGCCCTGGAGTTGGAGGTTGCTGTGAGCTGTGTGATGCCACAGCACTCTACCAAGGGCTATAAAGTGAGACTGTCTCTAAAAAAAAAAAAAAAAAAATCATTCATTACAACATGTAGGTTTCCTTCCAGGGATGCAAGGCTGGTATAACATACACAAGTCCATAAATCTAATTCA